TCTCAATTAAACTATATTATTCTCGACTTATTTTGCATTAAATATGATTATACTTATTTGAAAACTTTATTTAATTATATCACAATATATCTCATGTAAAATGTACCGTTATACATTAATTAAATTCAATACAAGAAATTTACTGGAGTAAACGAATTTATCAAATTATATTAAACGCGACTTTTCATGCAGTGCCTGGGACTATAAAATACACAATTTTGAAAGACTCATGCTCATCATAACTATGTATTTATAGTTAGTTTATTTAATACCCAGAAGCAGAGAAGAAGATTTTCAAAAAGTAAATACATTTTCATTATATAACCAATGGTGCCCCGCCCTAATACCGGAACCTCTGAACATGGGGCGATAAAATTCACAATTTTGGAAGAGGCACTCTATATCATAACTATATATTTTTTTAGTATATTTAATCCTAGAAGCAGAGAAGAAGATTTTAAAAGAATAAATGCATTTTCACTATATGATCAATAGAACCCCGCCTTAAGGTTTCGTCAAAGGTCAACTTGTCTAAAAAATTTTTTTTACAATTGCTCCAAAACTATGTGTGGTATAAAGTCAAAATGTTTACAGTTTTTAAATATATCACTGATTAATAGATAGAAAGTATTACTTGATAACAAATATTTTTAAAAAGATATTTTTAGAGGAAAATTGTATCAGAAAATGTGCATATTTAGAAAAAAATGCACCTGCTTAATTCCATCCTTGTTGTGAAAACCAACATTGTAGAAATAATATATGTTAATCATTGAAGGGGAAGTTGGACGTGAATGGTCTCTGAAAGGCTGTTATTGAAAGCATGACATGTATAAAGAGAAAACCTCTTTAGAATCCGCCACTTGCAGTGTACTTTCACTTTCACGTCTTAACATTTGGACAAAATAAACAGGGAAAACAACTTTCCAGTGACTATCAAAGTCCAACTTGCCCTTCATTGATAAACATATTTTGTTTCTGCAATGATGGTTTTCACTAAAAGCACAGAATTAATTAGGTGTATTTTTTGGAAAATATGTGCATTTTAAGAAGAAATTTTCTCAATTAATATTATTCCAAGTATTTTTTTAATCAAGGGATACTTTCTTTCTGTTAATCAATCAAAAATTTATAAACTGTAAAAGTTTTAAATTTATACCTTACATAGTTTTGGGGCTATTGTAAAAATATTTTTTTGACATGTTGACCTTTGACGAAACCTTAATACCAGTAAACTCACAATTTTAGAAGAAGCACTGTTGCTTAACATAATTATTTACTTACATAGTTTATGTAATACCCTGGAGCAGAAAAGAAGGTTTTCAAAGAATTAATGCATTTTCACGATATAATCAATAGAGCCCATCCCTAACACCAGAACCCCTGACCCTGGGGCCATAAAATTCACAATTTTGGAAGACAAACTCTTGCTCAGCATAACTATGTGCTAGTTTATCTTATACCCAGAAACAGAGAAGAAGATTTTCCAAAAGTAAACGCATTTGCACTCTATAACCAATAGAGCCCCACCCTAACACTAGAAACCCTGACCCTGGGAGTGTTAAATTCACAATTTTGGAAGAGGCACTCTTGATCATCATAACTATGTACTAAATTAGTTAGTTTAGTTTAAAGTCTAGAAGCAGAGAAGAAATCATGCATTTCACTATAAAGAAGCAAGGGGCTTTTAAAAGGATTAAGTCATCATGTTAATCTTATAATGTTTTGTTACTTATACAACAATTAACAATTAACTTGACACAAAGTTATATACATTTGATTGTACCTATATATTTCTTTTGAAACAATTCAATTTTTAATTTTGGCTTTATAAATCAAAGGGGTTTAAATTACATAAAAAATATTATAATGACACATTTTAACAACAATATTTTCTCTCTCTAAAATGCTGGTCAAGTTGCTTTTCATGTTCATAATTTTAAGCAATGAAAAGTGACAAAAATATTTGATCTGTTGTTCTTTTTGAATATCTGATTATCCTGTAACAATGAAGTTCATGGAAGTCCCAATTTTTGTTTTTAAAAGGACTATTTTTGTGCAAAAATTCGGTTTAAAAATTTATTTGATGCCGTAAACCAACAAGCAAGAAATTTCTTTCTGTAAGTTTCATGACCCTATCTTATCCCCGTGCATTTGTATTTGAAAGTATATACACTGTAAAAAATAAGTGTTTTATAAATAAACACCATATTGCAACAGATAATAAACACTTCAACACGTTTAGAATTTAAACACCTCAAGAAGTGTTTAAGAAATAAACACGTTAGAATGTTTAAATTCTAAACACATGAGGTTTAATATTCAACACTTCAAAAACACAAAATGTTTAAAGATTAAACACTGAATAAACACTTAAAGTTTACTACATAAACACCGTGAGTGTTTAAAATTTAAACATTTCATGTTTAATTAATAAACATGTTCAACCTAAACATTTAAACACTTAAACATGTTTATTTGCTGCAACAGATAATAATCGCTTAAACATGTTTAAAGGTCAATTTTTAAACACTTCAACGTGTTTATTTTACAAAATAAATAAATACTTAAACGTGTTTATAAGTTTTCAACATTTTATTTGAAACAAATATAAATCAGTACAAAACACACTGCGGTTGATAATGAATATGTTGTACATAAAGCTATTTTAATTAATAATTGATTTAATGTTCATTGAGGGTTAAAACTTTATAAACAACTGAAACATTAAATAACACGTTTACCAACACATGGACACATTATTCAATTTTGGTTGAAAAAAATAGCATTCTCAAAATAAACTAGCATGAAGATGTAAAATCTGCATCTTTAAACTAAACTCCAATAAATTCGTGTCGGGAGGGCGGGGGAGGGTCTTTGAAATATGAAAAAAAAAAACATAATCGCTTAATAAAATGAAATGTTTTTCATCGGTAAAATTTAAACATTTTTAAAAAAAAAAAAGGTTAAATCATCCTTTACATCTTTTTTAATAAATAAAACAAGCAAAATGATGAATAAACTGAAAATGATATTTGTTGTCTTGATACAGCATGAATAATATGTACTTGTATTACACTAATAAATCTAGTTGTAAATGTTACAAGTTTATACTTTCACAAATATTGAGAGTTTTAACCAAATAAAGAAATTTTTCCAGTTTTGAATTGTAAAGGACCAATTCTTGCTACTAAACAAGAGTTGCCGGGTATCACTCACTCAATATCAATATCATATTCTAACCGAGTTAAACAGTCTAGCTCCTCTGGTTGCGGGTAAAATTCAGGTTCTTCTACAACGGATGATGATCTCCAGTTTTCCATTCTCCAAAATTGCATTCACCCCAAGTAGTTCTAATTTCTTCATATCCTGAAAGATGGATGAAAAAAATATTCACTATGCAAATTCAGATAATTATCTGTAAAAGAATAGATCCACATAAATATCGAAAAAAAATGCTTGTTATTGTTCACGCCAATTTAAATTATATTTTACATACTGAGAAACAAGTTTGGAATAAAAATCTGCAATTCAAATACCTGTAAATCATATATGTATAAGCGTACATGTAAAAAAAAAATAAAAAATAAATGTTCATGTACCTGTAGTAGCAACCCAACAGCAAAAATTATGAGAATGGAGGGGGGGGGGGGGCTACCTTGTCCCAAGGCATTTTCTATCATGTATCACACTCCCTCAAAAAAAGTAAAGTTTCCTTAAAGAATACATGTATGTGCACGGGCTGGAGATGAAATTATTGTTGGTAGATGCGCTAGCTGCAGATCTGTAGCGTAATAGTTTTATGTATTAGTTATGGTCAAAGGCAAATTCATAAAAACCATAACGCTACAGATCTGCAGCTAGTACATGTGCGAATGTGGTATTGTTGCATGTTAAGGAGCATAAATATTAGCAAGGGTAGGTTCCTAATTGGATTATTTTCATTTATCAGGAACCAATGGTGTGTGTGTGGGGAGGGGCTTTTTCTTTTAAGACTCACCTCTCACGGTTAAGTATGATCTTCGTTTATAGGATTCACAGTACCAGATGAATGTCCCTGCAAATTTTTAAATTAGATATCAAGACTACATAAGCATTTATTTGTCTACCTCTGCGCATGGCCGGATTGCACTCAGACGATTACTAACTATAGGAAACAATCCTGCATTTCATAAATGAAAAACATTTTAGATCTTTAATGTATTCAACATTCTTTTTGAAAAGATTTTACGTAAAGAAATTTATAAATATACCTTTTATTTCCTTGCTAGATATGGCGTTTCTTGTCAGTATGTGCGTGATTCTGCATCTTCTGCGTTCAAATGGCATGTTATGACATAATCAACTGCGTCATTTTCTATCATAACGTATTAAACACTGGTGTTTAATTTGCAATTTCAATATAAATGCCATGTGTTTAATTTATAAATATATATGATTAAGAAATGAACACCCGTGTTAAACACCGGTGATTAAAATAACAATTCAATTATAGAAAATATCATAATATTTGTTTCTATTTCCTCTTTAACAGTTTCTGAAAATTTTGAAATTTGGGCACAAAATTACTACCAATTAATGTTAATTGTGAATGCGTTTGGTATGATCTAAAGTCAATATATTGCCTTGCTATTCGTATTTTTTTCTGTGTCGATAAATATCTGATACTATGTGCGGAATTACATGGTAAATTAAGACATTGTAAAAATGACAAATTCATACAGCAAATACTAAGAAGCAACGCTTAATTTATTTTTTGATTTGATGCATATGAATATTACGTGTTTAAGACGGATGATTAAACACCCTACTTATTGAACACCAGTTTAAACATCAGTGTTTATATATAAAACGCAAGTGTTTTGTATTTAAACGTACTATGTTTAATTGTAAAACACGACTGTTTAAAAATTAAACACAACTTAAACATCATTTTTTACAGTGTAGTAAAGCGCTTGTGTTAGTACAGAGTAAAGAATAAGAACAATTAAATTTCTCAAAATATTTTAATGTTTCTTGCGCTTATTTCTGATGACAATAACACCGAAACAATCTGCAGTCAGGTGTTTGGTAACTCTTGCAGACTTTAATGCAGCTACCATCAATCATGCAACCTAAATTAATAAAAACATTTAATCTTGCGTTATTTTAATTTTTTATGTCTCCTTTAGGACGCTTATCCTTTACCTTTGACTATGAACACATATCTTCCATACTCATGGTTTTGAAGTAATCCGCATAGATTTTAAGACATTACCAATAGTTTCATGTTACACCAACATTCCATATACATGTAATAGCATTCAAGATTGGTTGACTTTTAAATACTATTGTATGCAAAATACTCACCGTTCCCAACTCTGCAGGTACACTGTCTATATGAGCAAGCTCTAACCTGGCCACTTGGGCAGTTTATTTTCCCAGAACATTGGCCATCATATTCACAACAGGAGGCTGCAACGAGAACTAATTTTAACATGATAAACAAAAGCTGGGTTATTATTTTCAAGACCACAAGCAAATTACGTCCATCCAAATGTTAACTATAAAGAATGCTAACCCATAATTCATGTTATTGACCAAACAATTTGCACACTACTTTATAACCTCCAACTTGTTGTAAAGTTATAAAAGTACAAAATGATTTATCTAAAGTCAATTAATCCTATGAGGGTAAAAACAATACGTCTCAATGAAGTCAGGAAATAATGTTTCATTGCGAATTCCCCATGCAGTTCAGAAATTCAGATTTTTTTCAACTACCAAAAGAAACTTCATTCACAAAATCCCAATCACTATTTGTTTTAATTTGTATTTAAACATACCTCTAAAAATCAACGTAATTTTTCTTGTTGATACGGATAGAACATTTTCAAAAAGCATTTTCTAGTATCATAGTATAAAACAATATTTATAAGGCTAAGAGTAATTATTAAAAATGATTTAGTGGCCCAAAAGATAACCAAACTTACCTGCAAGAAGCAGTGAAAAAAAGACTATGTATTTCACATGTACATTCATGGTCAATCTACTTTCGTCTCTGTTGCACTCTGTAATATAATATGTGTACACTTATGTATAAATTTGCTGATACACCTACACGCTCTTATTTGTTCTACTCCAACGTTTATAAATTTTAACAGATCTACTACCATTTAAATTCTTGATTGCACCAATATATCCAAGAACGTAAAACACATGTTACGTGCTTATTTTTCGTTGTCTATAATTCAAGTGACGTAGGTTTACGCGTTCAGTCACTAAATATAGCTTACGAGTATGCCGAGTTATAACTGCATATGACATATCGCCTGCTTGATGTCCTCTTCATCAACGCATTTTATGAAACATATGGAGATAACGAACAGTATTCATAATCAAAGTTCATATATCATGTATATGGTTTAAAAAATTGTAGAGAAAATAGACTGGCTTGCCTGTCTGATACCGGTATCCGATTTTGCTGTAACGGTAAAGGCATGCAATACCAGTCTATGGAGATGACGAACAGTGTATACAAGATCATGCAAAAGTCCTTTAAAAAATTTGATATTGAAGCAGAGTAAACACGAACCTTTAAAACATCAGAGGTGGAATCAGGTACCTTGAGAGAACGGTCTCACTCGCCGTGTGATCCTTCATCGGGAAACAACAGAAAAATGAGTCGACAACGAGTTCATGTGTGTACTGGCCTAGCTTTTAATCAGTATGAAAAACTTGAGTAAGGTCATTGTATCGACCATAAAACTTACGAAATGATGGCTTTAAACGAGACTGCTGATATTCTTGTTTCATAAACTTTCAGTCAATAATTTCCCTTGTTTTAAATTTTTTCATACGAAGAGCATTTCTTGAGTATAGATATAAACCCATATGCAGGTGATGAAGGTGTATCGTTGCATAAGGAAAGGGAGTTGATGATTGAAAAGTTGAAGCCATCACGTTTATCATAAGCTTGGTTGATAGAAATACCATTAACGTCAATTCCAAATAAAATTAATAGATTTCAAAAAAAAAAAAAATAGATAGCAAAAAAAGCATCATCTCTTACGTCATTTACAGTTAGTAAGTGCATATAAATGTGAAAAATATATTGGAAATATTTATAATATAATCTCTTCTACAAAATAAATATAAATAAAACAAATTTGAATGTCATTCTAAAATGTTAATTTTTAGGGGGCCAAAATTGGCTCTTATCATATATACTCCTTTCCGTTGGCAAAGTGCAAAGAGTTAAAGACATGTTCTTCCGATAGTTTTATGGCCAATGCAATGACCTAGTCAGGAAATACCATAATTATTTAGAGATGATAACTTTTTTCTTAATTTTTGTTAGTCAATTATTTACACGACGAGTTGACCGTGGATTGGATTTTTCCCCCCGTTTTCCACAATAATGACAAGGATAATACACGGGGGGACCGGTCGACAGGGGATTCTCACTCTCCATGTTTGAGAGGTCCGTGGGTGTTCCATTTCTATTTATTGGTGTTTAGTGGATTTTTAAGCTCGACATTTGTTCGCTTTATATATCATTTAATCTGTTGTATGTGTACTTTTAAAAGCGGGCTTCATATTTTAGCAGCTTTGGCCCAACAATGCGCTAAATAATGAATACCGCTCAGAATCAGTCATATACAATACAATGATCGGACATGTGTAGCGCTTTAATAATTCCATACCCAGAGATTACGCTAAATTTTGAAAACGCTGATGCAGTATTTTTGATTGTTGAAAAAAAGCTCACTACATTTCATTGCAGTAATTCATTAAAAAATTGTAAAATGTATCTTCTCAATTGGAAAAAAAAACTTAGTGCAATTTTAGAATAAGTTTTCTATCAAATATGACTATAACCCAGAAGAAATTACACCTTTTAAAATATATAAAATTCTCATTACAATATATTTCCACTTTTATTATTTCTTCAATAAGAAAAATAAATTTGGAAGTGGAATGTTCTTAACATCAAAATATGCTTTTTCAGTCTATAATAAATCTTTCTCTTGATACTGAGTAAGATCTAATAAATAAAACAAAGAACACAGTACTTAAAGAAACTTTTTTTATCATGGTATTTTTTAAATATAATATATGTAAATACATAGCCTAAAAATGTAATTTAAGGTAGTAGAGGAATTTTAATAAAGAAAGAAAAAAAAAACCTGTATGGCATTAAAATATTTCTCCAGTGTTAATTCTTCTTAAATTTGCTTAAAAAGACGAAGTGATTTGAACGAAATTATTGAAGTTAAATGTATTTTTTTTTGGGGGGGGGGGGGGGGGAATCAAATGGAAAACATCAAAAGCAAGATTTTCATAATATTTTTATTACTTTCTGTAAATGATAAGACACGAAGATATATATTTGTTTAAGCATTTGATCTGCCAATTTCCAAACTTAATCGGTACTTAAATCCTGATAAAACTAACTGCCTGAATTATATATACTGCACTTTATCTCAAAGAGATATATGAGAACTTGATATATTGAATATATTCGATGTTTCAAAGATGGACAATTTCTGTTTTATTTATATAAGCCTCTACCGACAGACAGGCAGGGTTGCCCTCATGTTAGATAAGCGTTAGAAATAAAATTGATTGACTATTGACCAACAACATAAAAAAAATACTTCAAACTTAAGTTTCTTTTACAAATAGTGTATATTACCTTGCAGAATCCAGCTCATCGGCTAATAGAATGGATGTCTTATATATAGCGAGAGAGAGAGAGAGAGAGAGAGAGAGAGAGAGAGATTACTGATTACTTTTAAATTATTAAATTTCATGCATCTCTCTCTCTCTCTCTCTCTCTCTCTCTCTAGCTATATATAAGACATCCATTCTCTATAAGCCGATGAGCTTGATTCTGCAAGGTAATATACACTATTTGTAAAAGAAACTTAAGTTTGAAGTACATCCATATATATATATATATATATATATATATATATATATATATATATATATATATATATATATATATATATATATATATATATATATATATATATATATATAATTTCAGTTTGGGGAGGGGTAGCCAAACTTTTTTGAATTGGGGCAATGTGCAGCAATATCCCTGCATACGTAGGTAATATATCTCTATTGCTTCGAAAAGCAAGAACATGTTCTACATATGAACTCTTTATAAAACGAATAAAATGGATGAATGTTTTAAAAACAAGTTGATGAAACAAGAATATCAGCAGACTCATTGAAAATTATCAGTTTGTATTCTATGGCCCATAAAATGACATTGTCAGAAAATACAATCATCGAGTCAAAGACTGACCCTTTTTTACTTAATGTTTAAGCCATTATTTATACACTGAATTGACGACAAATTTTTCTATTTTTCCGATCTCTACAAGGAGCACAAGGCGGGTGTGACCGGCTGGCAAAAGATGCTCACTCCACCATGTCACCTGATCCCACCTCTGATTTTTTTTATATAGGTCTGTGTCTGCACTGCTCCTCTTTTTTATTGCTTAATGGACTTTTGATCACCATTAATGTTAGTTATCTCCCTATGCTTTTTTAACTTCCAAAAATTCTTTGACAAGCAAGAAAATCATTGTACATTATTATTAAGGGGAAAAAGTATTTAATTGCTAGTTTTTTTAAAAAATAGTATTCTATATGTCGACAAAATTATTTGAGGGAGGATCGGGATAAAACATTTTAAATCGATATTTACCTTGTGTAAAATGCCTTGTTTCTAAAGAATATACCACGTTATCAAAACCTGCTAATTAAGAGATTGAACTTTGAGACAAGGTGCACTTTTATCAGTTTTCTAATTTGAAAAGAACGATCCAAAAAGCAAAGTATTATATAAATCTAGGTCAAAACAACACAAACATTTTCATCAACGTAACAACGTATTCCTATCACACCAAAAAAACTAGAGGAATTGTGAGCGATGAGCTCACCAAATGATACCCCGCGCTGCCATATAGCTATAATTGCAAAGTCCTAATATGCTGTGGCCGGGAAACCCAAAATATGTGTCAGATCAAAAAGTAAAATAGGAGGTGCACAATAGCAATATATATGTAATAAAGATTCTGTGAAAGTTTCATCAAATTCCATTCAGTGGTATGAGAGGAGTTGCGGATAAGAGATGGGTACCTCAAAGCGTAACAGACGGACGGACGTACAGAAGGACGGACGGAATTAACGATTATTATATACCCTCCCGCTTTTCAAGCTGGGGGTATAAAAAAGAAGCTTTTTCTATAGATATGTCGGTCATGTTCCATATTGTTTTATACATCCAAAGGGAGGATCAAGAAAACGAAGAGAAATAGATGTATAAAAACAAAAATAAACATTCAACTCTTTAGGAAGGGCATAAAACAAAGACCCTGGATAATTCATTGCAGCAAGAACAAGGTCATCAAAAAGACTTTAAAATTTACGAAATGCTGACTTTATACGAGATTGTTGAGATCTATGTTACGTCAACTTATCTGTAAGTAGACTGTCTCGATTATATACTACTCGGAATATGCTCTTGAATATCTAATAGGCTGAGTCGTTTTTTTTTTTTTAGATAATACTAGAATATATAACTCCATGAAAAGGACAGTTGACTACGGCAAAAAAATTAAGTTATCTCCTTATACAATTTAAAATTTGATTATTCGCCCTGAGTAAAGAGTAAAAGCTTTGATTGCGAAGCATAATCAATCTCTTCTGAACCCTGTTAAGAATATCAATTTGAATGAAATATGAGGATATAGAGAACAGTATTGAAACTCATAAAACAAAGGGAAATCTTTAACAAAAATATCTCCGAGAAGTCAAACATAAGAGGTACATGTACAAAAAGTTATGAGTAACGCTTCCCTGTCAATTGGTCACACCCAACAGTAGTATAATATACAATGGAAAAGACAAGTACAAACCTGGGATAATTTTGGATAAATTAGCCCTGAAGGAATTGAAATAATTAGTAACTTGCTAATAACTTCTGATTAAAAAAGAATTCTGAATTTCCACATGAAAATATATATTTCTATTGTTGTTTTTAAATGCATTAACACGTTTAA